TATTATCTTCATTGTTTATATTCTGGTGTTAAAATCGTTTTCAAGTTTACATGTGAGCTAATAGCTGTTAGAGAAAGGGTAGTTGGCTTAAATGTTAGAAGGCTATTGATAGTAATTTCCTCAAAAAAGCATAATCTCAAAAATTTGAACTTTGATTTTATTATAATTATAGTTTTATTTATTTATTTATTTAATTTATTTTTTTGTCCTTTTTGAGACCGGCCGCACCGCGCTCAGCTAGTGAGCGCACCGGCCATCCCCATATAGGATCCAAACCCGCAGCGGGAGCACTGCTGCGCTCCCAGTGCTGCACTCTCCCGAGTGCGCCACGGGCTCGGCCCATAATTATAGTTTTAAAATCGATCCCTCCTGAACTATTTACCTAGATTGATTGTGTAAGGATTCTAGCTATAAATATATTCTTATTTTAAGTGTATGTATATTTTATTTGTACAACAGATTTGGAACAAACCAATTCATGCTTGAAATCTCACTGAATTCTTAATGAATGAAAAAGCCAAAACATGTTCAAACATTTCCTTTCTCTTCACCTTTATGACTGATAAAACACTAATATTCCAATTAATTTAGATTATGAATAATGTGATTTGAGAATACTGTGAGCTAAGGTACTAGAATCATCATGGACAGTTTTGTAAAATTACCTCCAAATCAGCTCTTATGGGGAGAACCATTACAGTGTGCAACTGAATTTGTTTGATGGGTGCTTTCTATTTCCTTAAACTAGGTGTTTACCGTTACCTAAAATAAATATGAGTTTTCAACTGATTTTTTTTTTAAGTCGTAAAATCTTTCCAAATACTTCTGAAAGTATACTTGCATACTGCTCTTTGGAATTTAAAGAAATCTGGAGGCTTTGGCTTATTTTGAAAGTAAAATTATTTCTTCTTAATGTACATTAAATAACCTTGAATAGTTTCTACCCTAGACTTTGCCATTTTAAAGATGGTTAATAAGTTTAATCTGTGAAGTATGTTATTATGTTTTGTAAGAGTAATCCTGAATTTTTTTTAAATAAACAATGAATTTTCTCTTCTCATCACAGGCAGTACATGAATCGAAAAGGTGGATTCAACAGACCTTTGGATTTCATTGCATGAGAATTGAAATATTGAAGAATTACTTTTCTTCCCCTCATCTTGGTCAGAGTGGATTTTGTATTTCATATTTAATATACATCAAAAACAGGATCTCAGTTCTTCCTCATAAAGTAAGAAAATCTTATTTATGATGAATGCAGTTTTCTTACCTTGCCTCAAAAAAGAAAGGTTAAATATTACATTTTTTTCTTTTAGGAAATATCATTTGAGGCAGTCATCAACCCCATTTTGTTAGTCCTAATTCCTGTGGAAGCTGTGTATGTTTTCTTCTTGGATCCTCGTTAGGACTTTTTAAAAAACATTAATGTAATTTGGATGTAAGTTTCTCCAATAAAGCAATATTTCTACCCTTTTATATTTGATCAATATTTTTATTACTAGATAAAAGAATCTCCCTGGGTATTTTCTTTTTTCATACATAGATTTAGATATCTTGATTCTTAATAGTTTAAAAATTGGAAGAATGGCTGGTTAGCTCAGTTGGTTAGAGCACCTTATAACACCAAGGTCACTGGTGTGGAACCCTGCACCAGCCAGCTGCAAAAAACAAGTAAAAATTGGCTTCCAGTCAAGGTGGCAGAATAGATGGTTCTCAGCGTCACTCTCTCTCACAAATCAATGAATTTACAACTATAAAAATGTAACGTCAGCCAAGCCGGGGCCGCTGGAGCTCAGGGGAAGAGGAGGAGAGACCTGTGGAACTCATGAAGGCAGGAGAAAACATGAAGAGAGAAAGAAAAAACTGCTCTCAGCGTTTTGGGCTGCAGCTGCTTTAATGCTGGAGCACATGGAGCAGGAGCTTGGCAGAAGCCACAGCTGTGCCCTTTAGACGGAACTACTTGGAGGAAGGGGAGAAGAGGACTTTGGTGGCCCCCAGGACAGCAAGACCACTAACAGGGTTCCCGTGGACCCACACAGGAGTGAGAAGCCAGAAAAGCTGAAAAGGGGGAGCCACTCAAAGGCCAGTGAGTTATCACAAGGGACCAGCGCGGCCCGTCCCATGGGAAGTGTTTGGAGCACAGGCGGTGGGGGAGATGGGCCCACCAGGGGAACACTGGTACATGGCAAGGACAGCTGATCTACACCCTAATCAGTGCAGGACCAATCAGAGGAGACTGGTCAGGAATGCAGAATTCCATGGGGTGCAGTTTGATGAAAAAACTCAGGCCCAGATCAGAGTTACTACACAACCCAGGTGCAACGAGTACCTGGAGAGCCGGAAGTACCTGTAAGGTCAACCATTAAACCCTGAGCTGCACAAAAAGTCTTCCCTAGGGAAACGGCAGCAAAGCAGCAATTTACTCAACCACACAGCTCAAGTACTGGTTCCCACAGGAAGTTCCTCCACGTTAGAAGTAAGCATAGGACAAAAAATTGGTTCCAGCCCAGACACGCCAGCAATGCTTTGGGGCCCACCATGGGACATGACGCATGGAGCCTGGGGCAGGCCCCCGCTTACAACCACTCACAAGACCAGCACCTTGGGGCCCTGCCCAGGAACCCGAGGATTAGAGCTGGGACCGGACCCCCCTCCCACAACCAGGCACATCTCACTAGTGCCTTGGGGCCTACCTGGGGACCTGGGGCATGAAGAAGGGGAGCAGACCCCCTCCCATAACCAGGCACACCACGCCAGTGCTTCGGTGCCCACCCAGGGTCCCAGGGTATGGATCCGGAGACCGGACCCCCCTTCCCACAACCAGGCGTACCATGCCAGTGCTTCAGGGCCTGCCCTGGGACCTGGGGCATGGAGAAGGGGTCCAAACCTCCCTTCCACAACCAGGCACACCTTACCACCAACTTGGGTCCTGCTCTGTGATCTGGGGAATGGAGAAGGGGACTGGACCTACCTCCCACAACCAGGCACCCCATGCCAGCGCCTCAGGGCCCACCTGGGGATCGGGGTATGGAGCTGGGGACTGGACCCCCCCACAACCAGGCACACCGTGCCAGCACCTTGGGGCCCATGCTGGGACCTGGGGTTTGGAGAAGGGGACTAGGTCCCCCTCCCACTATCAGGCACAATGTGCCAGCACCTTGGGGCCTGCCCAAGGGCCTAAGGCATGGAGAAGGGGACCGAAACCCCCTCCCACAATCAGGCACACTGCGCCAGTGCCTTGGGGTGTGCCTAGGGACCCAGAGTAAGGAGCTGGAGACTGGACCCCCCTCCCACAACCAGGCACACCATGCCAGCACTTTGGGACACACTTGGGGACCCAGGGCATGGAACAGGGGATCAGACACTCTCCACAACCAGGCACTCTGCCAGCACCATGGAGCAGGCCAAAAACATCTCCATGTGGGTGGCCCACCACAGCCACCACGATAACCATGGCTGCCATGAAGGCGGCTAGATGCCACAACCACTACACAGATAGTCCACCAGCCACTGGAGTGAGTTGACACAAGGAGAGTCACCAGCAGAGATAAAGGAGGAGGATGTCTGTTTCCACAGAGCCCATTTCATAGTGATGAAAGAGACATCTGCTCTATGATAGTATTGGGGGACCCGTCACGCCTCTCAGCATTGGACAGATCATTTGGGCAGCAAATCAACAGAGTAACCATTATTCTTTCAGAGGGAGAGAAGAAATCTAGGGAGAATAGAGGGGGGAGGGGAGAGGAAGTGGGATGGGTTGGGATTGGACAAGGGGCGTAAAGAATAATTACAATTTGTAACAATATATATGCTAGTAATATTGATTTGATCAACATATCTCAATTTTGAACCCCCAAAATATGTATAATCAATTTTGATTCAATAAAAATTTTTTTTAAAAAAGTAAAACTTGAAAGAATGAAAAAATATAACTTTGAATTTTTGTATCTATCTTCTGTGCTTTTTCCCCCAAAATATCACTTGTTGCTTTTCCCCCAATTTTAAAAGCAAGGCATGCTTGGTAAAAAACTTGGGAGAAACCAAAAGTAAAAGAAAAGCCCCAAATCTCCTGTAATCCACTCCCAGAAATAATCAATGTTAACATTTTGGTATATGTCTTTTCAGGCTCTTGTGGGTGTGTTTCTCACCTACACCCATGAGATCATAATGTCTATACAGTTCTCTTTTTCTAACCCTTTTTCTCTGATGTACTATGAACATTTCTTTTATACTCTTAAATATTCTTTGGAAACTTAGCTTTGAGTAGGTACTTGGTTGTACCATAATTTATTAACTAATCCCTTATTGGTGAATATTGCTTGCCTCCCATGACTTGCTGTTGTAATTAAAATTGTGTGACTACTGTTTCTGTTACATATATATTTTTGTAGTTGTTTATTTCCTCAGGCTCAGTTCGTAGACATGCTGGGTGTGTGCATACGTTTTAAGGCTTTTGATATATATGACTAGAAGGTAACAACCAACTTTCTTACATCAGTAAAGTATGGGCGTTCTCATTTCATATACATGCACAAACATTAGGTATAATAATTTTTTTTAAGTTTCCAATCTGATGGGTAAAATAACGGTATTTGGTTTTATTTTTGTTTAGTTTCTAGGGAGGATATTTTTTAAAATGTATTAGCCATATATATTTCTTTTATGAAATGCTAATTTCAAATCTTGGATCAATTCATCTTTTAGAAAGCTTTACTTTTTCTCATTTGAAGAAAGCTCTTTTCATATTAAAGATATTAACCATCATCCATTCTGTTTCATATCTCACCGGTATCTGCGGTTCTGTGGCTAGATATTAAATTTTATTTTTTTGAGTAAGTACTACAAACACATGGAACACAATTCAGATGAGAGAAAGGGTATCTAGAGGCGATTTAATTGTGTATTCTTTCAGAGATATTCCATACATACACAAATATTTTTATATATCTTATTTTATTATTCAAATGGAAGTAAACTCTACACGCTATTCTGCACCTAGCCTTTGTTGACTTAGTAGTACATCTTGTTTTCTATCAATACAGGTAAAACCACTCCTTTTTTTTTTTAAAGTTCTACATTTTTGTTCTTTGTAGGATGGGCCATAATCTAACAAATTCGCCATTAATGAGCATTCATATTATTTCTAATCTTTTGCTATTTCAGACATTTCTGTAATGACCATTTTTGTACGTACGTGATTTTACAGGATCTTAGCTAGATTTTTAAATCCTTATTGCATCTGAAATTTGACCACCAATTATAGTTCTTCAAATGCTTTCTTGGCAAGTTCCCTGTAAAGAAAATTTAGTAATATGACCTCATTGCATGCTACAGTGTATGAGCACCTTGATTCACTTAGTCCATATGAGATAGATAGAACAGGTACTATTTATCTCTGTTTCCCAGATGAAAAGCTGATGCTATTCAGACCATAAAGGCAGAAACTATTGTTGTTTGTACTACCTACTGCCTTCAGTGCTTAAATATTTCAACGTGCTACCTCAGTTGCACAACTTGAAGTACTCATTGCACAACTGTCAGCACCCCATGTAGTTGAATTATTTTGCTTGAACTTTTTGCCATGCCTCCACCCACCAAAATAGTATATACCTATAAATTATCCATGATGAGGACTGTTTCTGAACATACTTGTGCATACCTAAGGAAAGTAGACCTAATTGTAGTTTTAATAGGGAAGCCAAATCTTTTAAGGCAAAATAATATACCCCAAACCAAATTATATATTTTTGGATTGTCATTTTATCAGTATGGTGTTAGTAGAGATTTGCCTTGAGATCCTTAAAGCAGTATACTTTGTAATTAATCTGAGAGAACCTGGTAGGTCAATAGGTTTGCTGTTCCTGAGCTAACAACAAAGAAGTGGAAGAAGAGGAAATCTTTGAAAATCCAGAGAGAGCTGCCTCTGATTGTAGAAGTCTTGATTTGAAGGAACTTTTTTCCATTAGATCATCTAATTCCAGAAGAATAACAAAGATGGAGCATCCTTTTCTTCCGCTAACAGGCCACTGCCTCACAGAGGACATAAATTGTGCCACAATCTTAAGTAAGTGCTCCAGGGCCTGGTCCTTGGACTCTCCAGTCTCTACCTTGATGAGTCATCCATTTGCATGGCTTCAAACTTCCGCGATGGCTCTTAAATTTATACTTCCAGCCTGACATTTTTACTGAATTACACTCTTCTATACCCGCCTAGATTATTTGGCACCTCAAGTTTAAGATTAACTGAATTGAACTCTCATTTCCCTGTCCAGTCTTCCCTGAGCCCTCACCATTTGAATAAATGGCCCTTTTATTCACTCCTTTGCTCAAGCCAAAATCCTTGGGGTCACCCTTGTCTCCAGTCTTTCATGTCCACATCTGGTTCATTAGCAAATCCTCTTGGCTCTAAACTCAGAATACGTTTTGAATATAACCACTTTTCACTGGCTATTCAAAGTCATCTCTTTTGCTTGAAC